TTAACCTACTTAATACCCACATACTTTCAACATCTATATCAAATCTCACCTCTTCTAAAATTTTCAGACTCATGGCCTTTAGTTTTAGTGATCATTTTTTCTTTTAGAGCACTGTTGTGTCATAGTAAATCATATAAAAGTCAACATCCTAAGACAAAGAGCTGAATCCTGTCTCCTCTACTTAATAACTACATGATCATGCAAAGACCTCTTAAATTCTTGGGAAGTTTTATTTGTAAATGGAATTATTTCTCTAATTTATTTTTATTCCTATAGTAGGATAATACATCTACATCCTTTCCCTTGTAACTTTGTAGTATCTGTCACTGTGGATGAAATATAACTTCGTTTCTGATGGATGTTGGCCTCAGCTACGTGACTTGGTTTAGTTAATAAGAGGTTAAGAAACATAACATAACAGAGGCTTTAAATGGGCATCCCTGATTTAGTTTGTCTATTTGTGCTTCTGTAAGTCACTCTGAGGTTGACATACCTGAGGAAGTCATTGCTTCTTTATCCTGTGCCTTGGAATAAAGACGTATGAAGTGAAACCACTCCAACTCGAAGCTTGGAGTCAAGTACGACCCATCCAAGTCAAACAGACAAGATTAAGAAACCAATGCGAACCTACAGATCAAAGACCAGAAGAAAAAAAGAGAAGTAGTAGTTATAAGCCACTAATATTTGAGGTTCTTATATAGCCCTTTTCCAGGACAAGCTAACTGATATGACTATCTCACATATTTTTGTGAGACAAATGATAGATGTAAGTGAAGATGATTTCAGAAATTACAAAATGCAATACAAATGATATTTGATTATTGCTACTCAGTATTATGAATTTGTATCCATTTCTTGTTTCCTTATCTAAATTTTAAATATGAGAGAGATAAACTATTATATGAGAAATAGAATCATTAGATAATTAGATAAGAGATAATTATATTTCTTATATTTGCCAAAATGCCCTACATGATGCCTTATACCAAGTAGGTACTGAAGAAGTATTAACGTTGCTGCTGTTAGCATGCCTCCCAAGTATATTTTGTTTATGTCTTTGTTTTTGTTCTTTTAGTTCTTCAGTTTTTGACATTTTCATGGTAGTATAAGATATTAAGAGGGTGTATTATCAAATCAAACTACTGATTTCAGAAACTGCCTCAAACTCTTATTATCATCGGGTCTTGGGCAAACTGCTTAAACCCTCAAAGCATTAACTTATTTATTTATAAGAATAATATTATTACTAATAATACATTCATCAACTAAAATTAATTACAATAATCATTTGGCAGTGATTGTCACATCATAAAATACCCAGTAAATAGCAGCTTTTATTGTATTTTTAATATTTTAAATGTTCCTTTCTCCTCTCCAGAAATTTCTAAACAAACTTCTCAGACCATCTTATCCTTCTCTAGCCAAATATAATTCTTCCAGATAGACGGAAACACACACACAGACATGCACGCGCGCACACACACCTCTTGCAGGGTTTTCCATAAATAGGTGGGGAACAGGAAAAGGTGATCTTAAGAACTCTGTGTTTTCTCTCTGCTTTCTGGTCATCTACTTGATGTTTCCAATGCCCCCCAAACAATTTCTATTCCTATTCACCTAACTAATGCTGAACCATCTTCAAATTTCTACTTAGAGGACACTGACCCTGGAGAAGCTCTCCCAGACTCTTCAAGGCTAAGCTGAACATCCCTCTTATAAAGAGCTTTCATAAATTCGTGATTGAGGGCACTTAAAACTGCTTTTTGACTTGTCCATTTTTAAAACTGTACTATAAGTTATTTGAAGGCATAGACTGTGTTCATCACTTTCACTAGAACCTGGAACAGTCCTGGCACATATTAATCACTTAAAAGTATAAGATAAAATAATAAAAACGAAGAAAGAAAGGAAGAGAACAAGGGGAGAGAGACAGCGAGAGAGCATAGACTGTGTTCATCCTTTTCACCAGGACCTAGCACAGTCTTGGCACATATTAAGCACTTAAAGATATAAGATAAAAGAATAAAAAAGAAGAAAGAAGAAAGAGAATAAGGGGGGTCGGGGGAGGAGAGAGAAGGGAGGAAAGAAAGAAAAAGGTTACTTTTGTTTTTTTGCTTTTCAGAAGAGAATGTTAAAAGAGCAAGACAATTACTATAACATCATCAAAACTCATTTTCCATCTAAATCTACATTTTGTTTGAAATCACATGTCAGTGTGTTCTCTTCCACTCATCAGAGTAACAGGCTATTTAAAAACACCAACTCATCATAAAACCTATTTGAGACAAAATGGAATGAATAGAGTAAGGTGGATTTCTATTCTTTTCTTCCTTATTCTCCTTCTTGCTCATTTTAGAAAAAGGCTCTTCTTCTTCACTAAAAACCCTCCAGCAAGAAACAAATATAGAATATTTATCTCATCTACTTTTTTAAAATTAAGAACAAGAAATTTAAGTAATTATTTATTTAAAATATTTATTTGTGCTTTATATTTCTGGATAGGAATTAGAGATAACAAGTCTAGATCTGGTTAACAATGGGTAAAAAAGAGGAAGATAAAAAATGGAGAAATTGATTAAAAAGTAGACAATACAAAGGAAAGAAGGAATACAAGAAACTTTAGAGTAATGTGTCTTCATAGCACTTCTGTTTTAATCCTAAATTCTAAATATCCCCCTCTGGGTATGAGGAGAAGAAAGGTCTACAGGATCCTAAAGTATTCTCTAATACTGAGGAACAGGACTGGAATGATATCCCTCTGGAGTTTGACAAAATCTAACTGAAATTAAAATATGGCTATCAAACCAGCAATTCACTATCTTTACTTAAAGGAATAATAAGTCAGGTGTTAATAACATAAATTAATAGTTTCCATTGTTCTTAATTTAAGTGGACAAGTATTAGATACAGCTTATCTGTGCTGCCTTTTATTTTCACATAAGTACCTTCAAAAAGTATTCAAAGAGTTTAAAGAAGAAAAAGTTGCAGAAAGAGTTGGATAAACAGACAAAAAAGAAAGAAAAACAGGGAAGAGCCAGTCAACTTAGCAACTTTAATTGTCCATGTGGATTATAACAGTGGATTTGTCTCAGTTAGAACTATCCAGTGCACTGGCCCTAAAATACACAGAAAATTACTAGGGGTGTTGTTGTTGTTGTATATTAATTTCTGCTATATAGACAGACTCAGTTCTCTTCCCATATTTGTCTGATATATGCCGGCAAACAGAAATCTCTCAAGAAATGTTAGTGAATGTGTAAAAACAAGATTGCATAAATAATCTCCTTATTTATCATCAGGGCCAGGGCTATTGCTGAGTACCCAATTTATACCCAAAGTTGATTCCTCTGAAACAATGACACTTAATGTACACAGCCTCCCAGAGAAGAGGAGACAGCTCCTGTCTGTTATGTGACTGTAAGCCACTTGTCCAAACCAATTCTGCAGCAACAAGTACCAAGTAGATTGGGAAAATGTACAGATGGCTGCCTGCATGCCTCACTGAATTGGGCTGCCACCACGGCCCATTGTTTTATTTATTACTGACAAAGTAATTAACTGCTTGACTCCTTCTTTTTAAATTGGTCATCCTTAATGGACAGCTGCACTGGTGGGGGGTGGGGGTTGTACTAATCATGCCTTTGACAGGAGCGAGCTCCACAGCCCCACTGCAGCAGCTAGAGCCTTTGTGAGGTCATCCCTTTGCTGCTGGACAGAAACCCATGCTTCACTCTCCCCAGGGTCTTTTAACAGGCTTCCTCACTCGCAGAAAACACACAGCATTTTTTTTTTTTTCTGAGAGCTTCTTTTTCTGAAGTATAATACAATGGTAAAAAAGTCATTTTTTAGTTTGTTTTCCATGTAATAATTTATTTTTAGTTCAAGTAATAATTTCTTAAATACAAACTGAAAAAATGCCTTTAATAATACTTGTGGAAGAAGATTGCAATAATCTCAGCAGATATTACCCAAATTATAAGGAAGCTAGAGGTCATGTGACGGCATCAAAAGCTGTTTCAACTCACTTCTCTGTCCAGCAACCAAGTATTTATTTTTATTTCTATAGCATAAAGAATGATCTTTATTTTTTCTACAGTATAATGAATATTAGATGCTTGCAGGATATTTTACATCACAGAATCCTAAAGATATTTTTATAGTGAGCATGCCTAATATATCAAGCTCAGGCTCATTTGTTAGTAATACAATACCAGATTCACGGCATAGGCAAAATTCTTCCTAGGGGTCTCATGCTTGTCTTTTCTTACCTGTGAAATGAAAGCCATTGTTCTTTCCTGCCCATACTTCTTCCTGACCTAAGTAACTTCAACTCTGTTCTTTAGGATTTATTCTATAAAATCAGGGGACTGGACATAGAGAATCTCTAATAATCTGTGACTATCTGGATATTGAGGCAAATAAAAATTATAAGGTATTACTCAAAATAATAAAAACTGTGAATATGCAATGTAAGGGGCATGTATTAATTACAAATACAAGTAAATCTTGATTTGTTTTTATTATTACAAATATTAGTGTCAGTGATTTGAGTTTGCTTGTGAAAAAGTCTTTTATATATTCCTTTCTGTGCTTTGCTAATTTTCCATTCTGTATTCCAAGGCAGACCAACAGATTGCAACAAAATCGGGTTAAACATTGATCTTCCGCCCTGACATTGCATTAACTTTTGTAATAAACATCTTCACTGTGTCAACCAGCACTGTGTTTACATATTGAACCCAGCAGCCAATTGTCTTACTTCTTTTAGGTGCTTTTGAATTCCAGAAGGAATCTTATCTGGAAGACTAGAATCATGCATCTGTCATGCCTTTCAATTTTGTATTTCAGATTAACTGCTCCTTTTCCTCCACGTTCTTAAGGTCTTCTAAGAAATTTCCTTCCCAATTCACTTGGTAAGTACCTGCTCAGGCTGTTATTCTATAATGAATTCATGTCTTTTCTCCTATTTTTCCTGTGCCGCCCTTTTTATCTGGAGTCAGGATTCTGAGCTCTGACCTCCCTCCTTGTCATGTTGCCTGAGGAGAATTGCAGACAGACCCTCAGACCTCAAATATTCTAAATTTTGAAGTCCCAGCTTTGGCTGAGAGGAGGCCAGCATTGGAGTACAAGTAAGCACTGATATATATATATATATATATATTTTACTTACAGTCTCTGAAAATTAACTATTTCTGTTCAGGTTCAGGGACTGACTGAAAGTATGAGCCAATAGGTGTGCCTATCCATTACTGATCAAATATTCTCTATTTTTGAATGTTACGAAGAATACACATTTAGGAATTGGTTTTCATATCTGCAGATAGGGTCCATGCTGCTTGCTTCACTGAAGCAACACGTAGAAGCTGACTAACAAAGGAGAAGGCTGAGGAGAAATTGCTCCATGAGATAAGGCATCGCATTTATCCCTGAATGTTTCTCTCTCTCCAAACGCACAGAAACATGTCATAAAGTGTGGGATTAGGGTCTCTAAAGGACATGTAATACCTCATTCCTGGAGATGTGGTCTAAAATGAAAGGGTCAAAATCGATGGTCAAGTCACAACATTTATTCCTAGAGTCTTATTTTAATAAATATGAAGAGATCTGCAAAAATTGTATGCCTGGGAAAAAAATCCCATTCAGACCAACTGACCCAGACCAATTAATGACAACTCAGAGTAGTAATAATGAAAAATTCATTAGACTAACTCCCATAATTTGCTAAAAGGGTATTTATACAAAACACTGTACTAAGTATATAACACAATATCTCATTGTGTGATCCTTATAATAGCTCTGTGAGGTACATGTCCTTATTCCTATTTTTTAGACAGAAAAGTCTCTGATAAATAACTTGTCTAAAGTCACGTATTTACCACATTTACCAGAGTTATAACCCAAATTGGTCTGACTCTAAAAGCTCTTATCCATTCAGTCCTATTGTAAAATAAGCACACCAGTGGAGAGCAATAGAGAACGGGAGTGCAGTCACGATGGGAGCCTGTCATTGGATCTCATGTATGCAGAGGTTCCTCCTTCCAGGAGAGCTTTGCCCTTGTCCTCATTAACTTTTACGTCAATACATTCAATGCATTGTATTGGATTTCTAGATTGGGAGCTAAAAAAAGAAAAGATTTCTAAATATCAGCTATCTTATTTTACCAGTTTGCTTAAACAAGTTACAGAATATCTCTATTCATAATTTTTTTACCTAAAAATCGGAATAAAACTACTCTTCAATAAGTGATTTTTAAAAATGATGATAAAATTAAAGGAATTTAGAATAATCCTTGCACATATTGGGCACTTAGAAAATTTTGCTTCCTTACTGTCTCCCTTCTCCTTACATTTCAATTTTGCACAATGTCTCATGGCCTCTTCAGAGCAGAGACTATGTAGTATTTACCTTCATATCTTCAGACCAAATGCTTAGCATATAGTCAGTGGACAATTACTGGAAGTGATTTAGAGACATTGAGAATTACTTCCTTTGAAATTTTAGGAGGTATGGTAAAACTTTGGTTTCAGAATATATATTTATTGATTTTTCAAATATGTATTTTTGGTCAACCTCTTGGGATCTTTAGAAAAGAAAATTTTCCAGTATTTTTTTTTTTTTTTTGAATCTCAGGCCAAGAGAATTAGAACACTCCGTAAAATTACATAGGTATATCTGATAAAGGCCATACTCTGTTTTTCCATATAAGTATAAAACTGTTGTATAAAAAATTACCTTCTGGCTAGGTGTGGTGGCTCATGCCTGTAATTTCAGCACTTTGGGAGGCCAAGGCATGCAGATCACTTGAGGCCAGGAGTTCAAGGCCAGCTTGGCCAACATGGCAAAACCCCCTCTCTACTAAAATACAAATATTAGCCAGGCCTGGTGGCGCGTGCCTGTAATCCTATCTACTGTGTAGGCTGAGGTGGGAGAATTGCTTGAAACCAGGAGGTGGAGGTTGAAGTGAGCCAAGATCATGCCACTGCACTCTAGCCTGGGCAACAGAGCAAGACTCTGTCTCAAAAATATAAATAAATAAATTACCTTCTAAAATGTTATCCTCTTCACTCAAATATATACAGTAAAAGATGTCTGTCCAATAGTATAATATATTTTGTTTAGCAAAAATACATTAGTCAATTATTTATCTTAAATTTCCTTTTTCCTCCTCAGTCTAACATGTTTATTTTTATACTGGACTTTGGTCTATCCATTTCACATATGGCTTAACTATTTCCTATATAGATAGTTCAGTATCTGTTAGCTGCATAGCAACCTAATCCCAAAATGGTGTTTTAACATTTCCTCACCATCTCTGAGTTGTTTGGACTCAGCTGGACGGTTTTTCTGCTTCTTATGATGTCAGCAAGGGCTATAGTCATCTGAGGTCATGGGTGGCCTACAACATCCAAGATGGCTGCCTCCTATAACTGGCAACTGATGTAAGCTGTTGGTTGAGAGAAGCTAATAAGCAGATCTCCTAAGTTTTCCTTGATATGACCTCTCCATGTGGCTGGTTTCTGAGAAGGAGTACCCAAAGGGTGAACGTTTGAAGGGAAGGAAGCAGAAGCTAAAAGTCTCTTAAGGCCTCCTTTCTGTGCATTCAGTTGCTCAAAGGCCATTGCAGATTCAAAAGAGGAGAAATAAACACTCCTGTTGACCTGATGTGCATTAAAGAGAAGAAATTGGTGGGTCATTTTTAAAGACTGATTATTAAATATATAGTTATTCTGTTATATATTTTTGTAAATGATTTCATTGTCCATTCTACTGCTATAAATTTTTCTTCTGTATGTAAGAATTTAAAATCCATGGTTTCTTTCTATGTACTAATCTACACATAGTTGTGTTTATCATTTGATAAATGATATGTCTTTGATGAATATATTACATGATACTGAAAACCTGATGTACCATTAAACATATAAATAAATATTTCACATTTTAGAATTCTGAGCTCTAACTCCTTCTTTAACCTCTGCGTTAGAATTAGACAAAAGCACTCAGATTTAAAATATATTAAATGAGGCAGTGGGAGAGGTAGGTGGTGAAATAAAGTTTTTCGTTAGTCTTATTTTTCTCTTTTTGTTCATACATTTTGAGCTCTCAAAATAGCTGCAAAATGCTTTATTACATTGCTAATATATGCTTAATTTAAAAAAAATCCAAACTCTACCAAATTTAGCTAAATGAAATAATTACATGTTATATTGGTGTGTAAGAGGTGGGGAGAAGGAGCACATTCTAAACTTCCTTGCTTTTTTCTAAATTTGTCTGTGAGAGAGCACCGATTAAGAGTCAGAATTTCTAACTCCAGTGTGGATGGACTTCACTGGAGTAACTATTAAACAAGATGCATTACAAGTGTTACCATGATAATCAGGTGAAGTTATTAAATAGAAAAGAACATATTTCTGTCTTTTGTAAGGAGAAATACATCATTTCCATGGAGAAATGAAGGAACTCTCTGAAGCCTGGAAACCCCTGGGAGGGGAGCACATGTATTATTCTAGATCAGAACTAAATATTCCAGCATGGAGGATGACCTCACGTGGCCTCCCTGTCGAAAGGTATGTAAAAACAAATGTTGTAACTATGAATTTGACATTAACCATGGGAAAATTTAAGACAAATGAAAGTTATACATTATTGATGAATCTCTTTGGGAAACTTGTTGAAGTTATATGTCATTTTTTCATTCACTAATCAGACAGTAAGGTTATTGGGTCATGAATGGTAGTTATACTTAGCAAATAGTATTTCTATTGTGTAAGTTCTTTTTGTGCCTTTTCTTGTTATTAGATAAATTATACCTGGGTATTCTTTAAATGGGAAATTGTCTGCGCTCGTGTAATTGAAGCAACATTACATCTGTTAATAGAGAGCAGAAGATATAATCGGAATTTTGCTACAAGTGGAAAAGAAGGAAATTAATATTCTTTTTGTTTTTAGACATGCAACCTATGTATTAAGTAAGATATTGTTGATGGCAAGTACACACTGCTTGGCATTGATTTCTTCCTTGCTGCAAGGAGGTGGACCCAAGGTGAATTCAAAATGGAACACAGGAAATAAGAAGTAAATATAGTGAAAGGCAAGAATTTGATTTGATGAAACTCATCACTAAATGATGAAACTGATTACTCAACGTATGTTATTACTAGAGCTTTTTAGTAGAGATATGATACTATCGGTGTGAGCCAATATAAAATTGCATTGTAATAAAGAGCACTGGATCTAAAATGAGACTGGTTACTATCTCAGTGTTTGTTTGAATATCTTTAAGGTAGGGGTAAAAACCGAATATGAAGTAAGGTACATGAGAAAAAATTGTCATGATATTTAGGAGTTTTAGTAATAATTATATAAACATTAATGTTTCTGGGTAAGTTTCACAAAAGAGAAAATCTTGTAAGAAGCTAAAAGGGGTAAGGAAACCTTTCCTATAAAGGAACAAGGATGAGAACTATAGCAAAATTTCATCAGAAATCATGCAAGCGAGAAGAAATTAAAGTTAAATATTTGAATTGTTAAAAAAAAAAAACCCACCGACCTAAACTTCTGTATCCAGTAAAATTAACCTCCCAAAGTAAAAAAGAAAGAACTTTCTCAGACAAACAAAAACTGAGGTAATCCATTTTCAGTAGACTTCCACTACAACATGTTAAAACACGTTCTGCAGGAGAAGGAAAGTGATATAATATAGAATCTCAAATTTACGTAAACAAAGGAAGGAAATCACAGTAGTCCATAAAACAAATCTTAACAAATTTAAGACAATAGAGATTATATCAAATATCTTTTCTGAGCAAAATGGTATAAATCTAGAAATCAACAACCTAAATAAATAAATAAATAAATAAATAAACCCCTCAGAAACTTTACAAATACATGGAAATTAAACAACATGGGTCTATACAACCAATGGGTCAATAAAAATGTTAAAAGAAAGATTAAAATTTTTACTGAGACAAACAAGAATGGAAGCAGATCATATCAAAACCTATGGGACACAGCAAAAGCAGTTCTAAGACGGAAGTTTATAGCAAAAACACCTATATCAGAAAAAAATAAAGACTTCTAATAAACAACCTACCAATGCACCTCAAGGAACTAGAAAAACAAGAACAAACAAAACCCCAAACTGGTAGAAGAAAGGAAAGAATAAAACTCAGAGCACAAATAAATGAAATAGAGACTTAAAACAATTTAAAAGAACAATGAAACAAAGATTAGGTTTTTAAAAAAGATAAACCAAATGGACGAACCATCAGTTGGATTAACTTGGAAAAAGGAGAGAAGACTCAAATAAAATAATTAAAAAGGAGACATTACAACTGATACCATAGAAAAACAAAGAATCATGAAATTATTATGAATGACTGTAAGTCAACAAATTTAATAACATTTAAAAAATGGGTAAATTCCTCTACACATACAAGCTACCGAGATTAAATTATAAAGTAGAATATCTGAACAGATCAATGAGTGAGGAAATTGAAAGAGTAATAAAAAATCTCCATCAGAGAAAACCTTAGAACATGATGGCTTCACTGTCAAATTCCATCAAACTTTTAAAGAACTAATATGAATTATACCCAAACTATTCCAAAAAATAGGAGAGAATACTTCAAAATTCAATTTATGAGCTCATCATTACCCTGATTCCAAAATTGAAATAGGACACAACAGAAAAAAAATACCACAGACTCATATTCCTGATGTACAAAGATGCAAAAATTCTCATTAAAAAGATCATTTACTATGATGTAGTGGGATTCATCCCAGGGATGCAAGTTAATAAGTATAATCCACCACTTTAACAGACAAAAGAACATAAAATACAAAAAAGACAAAGAACATATAATAATTACAATAGAAAAAATCATTTGACAAAATTCAATATCCCTTCATATTAAAAACTCTCAACAAACATCTATCTATGTCTAGATATAGAAAGTATGTATTAAACACTTCAACAAAATAAAGGCCATATATGCCAAACTCACAGCTAATATCATGCCTAATGAGCAAGAGCTGAACAAGTTTTCCTCTATGATCAGGAGGATCTTTTTCTGCTGTGATAAGCTAAAATTTCTATTATTTATTTAATTCTTCTCATGCATTTTACTCAGTACAGTTCAGTGATGAGAATGTTTATTCTATAGTGCTTGGAACATCTGGATAACTACATACATGAATTAAAGTCACAGAGCACTTAATACAAATTTTCTACAAAAATAGGACATTTTGTTTATTAAAATTTTACAGATAGGCATACAAGACTACAATAAATAACTGAAGTGAAGCTCTACAGTTTTTAAGAAGTCAGATAGGCTGGTCACATAGGCTCACGCCTGTAATCCCAGCACTTTGGGAGGCTGAGGCAGGTGGATTCCTTGAGCTCAGGAGTTCAAGATGAGCCTGAGCAAATGGTGAAACCTTGTCTTTGCCAAAAATGCAAAAACAATTAGCTGGTCTTGGTGGCACACCTGTGGTACCAGCTACTCAGCAGGCTGAGGTGAGAGGATGATTTGAGCCCAGGGAGGCAGAGGTTGCAGTGAGCCGAGATCACGCCACAACACTCCAGGCAGGTGACAGAGTGAGACCCCAGCTCAAAAAGAAAAAAAAAGTCAGATGGTTATCTAAGTCCAGGCTTTGTATATTCTGGTTCAGGGGTTATAGAGGAACATGGCCAATGTGAGAAACAACAGCAACTGTAAGCCCTTGGCAACACACTAAGAATATGGTTCCCCTTAATACGGAATCCATGGATACAGAAGCTGCAGCCAGCACACTTTATTTCTGTTAGTCATACTCTGTATAATTGATTTGTAATCTTTTTGGGGACAGGATAACTGTGGAAGAATTTTAACAAACTGGACTGATCTACTGATAAGGAGAAGGTCAGCCTTATCCTCACAAGTAAGCCCCCACACACTGGTACTGCCAATTAACTGAGGAGAACCATGTCTCTATGCCAAGTATCCCCTGCTGAGTAATCCCTTCCACTGCCCCAGCATCTGAGATGAGGATGTGGATATTTAGCTGAGCAGGACAAGGATGCCCACTTTCACTACTGCTGTTCAGCATAATACTGTAAGTCTTAGCCAGAGCAATTAGACGAAAGAAACAAAAAGAAGGCATCCAAATTGCAAAGGAGGGTTCAAATTGTTCTTGTAAAATTCATATGAAACTACAAAGACCCTGAATAACCAAAACAGTCCTAAGCAAAAAGAACAAAGCTGGATGCATTACACTACCTGACTTCAAAATATACTACAAAGCTATAGTAAACAAAACAGCATGGTACTGTCATAAAAACAGACACATAGACTAATGGAACCAAATAGCCTGCCCAGAAATAAATTAACACATCCACAGCCAACTAATTTTCAACAAAGGTACCAAGAACATACATTGAGGGAAAGACAATCTCTTCAATAAATAAGTGTTGGAAAAATTGAATATCTACATGTGGAAGACTATGACTAGACCACTACCTCTCAACATATACAAAATCAACTCAATATAAATTAGACTTAAATGTAAAACTAAAAACTATGAAACAACTAGGAGAAAACATAGAGAGGAAGCTTTATGAAATTGGGCTGGGAAAGTGTTTTATTTTTTTAATAAGGCTGCAAAGTCACAGGCAACAAAAATAAAAATAGACAAATGGAATTAAATCAAACTCAAAAGCTTTTGTACAGCAAAGAAAACATTGACACAGTAAAGAGACAACCTACAGAAGGAAAGAAAATAGACAAAACCTTTATGTCTGACAAGAGGTTAATATCCAGAATATATGAAACTTAAACAGCTCAATAGAAATAGAAAAAATAACACAATAAAAAAATGGGCAAACTTTAATAGATATTTTTCAAAAGAAGACATGCAAATAGCCAACTGGTATATGAAAAATGCTCAGTGTCATTAACACAAAGTAAACCCACAATGAGATACCACCTTACTCCAGTTGGAATGGCTAATACCAAAAATATAAAAGAAATCAAGTATTGGCTAAAATGGTGAGAAAAGGAAACACTTACACACTCTTGGTGGGATTGTAAACTAGTACAGCCATAATGGAAAACAGTATGTAGGTTCCTCAGTAAATTAAACACAGAATTACTATATGATTCAGAAATGCCACTACTACATGTATATCCAAAGGAAAGGAAATCAGTATGTCAAAAAGATATTTGCACTCTCGTGTTTATTGCAGCACTAGTTACAATAGCCAACATATGGAATCAACCTAAAAGTTTAACAACAGATGAATGGATAAGGGAATTGTGAGATACACACACACACACACACACACACACACACATGCACGCACAATGGAATATTACTCAGCTATGAAAAAGAATAAAATCCTGTCATTTGTGACAACAGGGATGAACCTGGAGAATATCATGTTGAGTGAAATAAGCCAGAGACTAAATGACAGATACTGTATAATCTCACTCATATGTGGAATCTTTTTTTAAAAACTTGATATAAAACCAGAGTAAAACAGTGGTTACTAGAGACTGGGAAAGGGAGGAGGAATAATAGAATGGTAAGAAGTTGATCAATTAGTACAAATTGTTAATTAAATAAAAAAATGAATTGGATTGTTCTATTGTCAAATAGGATGACTATGGTTAATATTAAAATATTCCATATCACAAAACACTTAGAAAAGAGGCTTTTGAATATTCTCATCACAGAAAATGCATGAGATGATGGTTACACTAATTGCCCTGATTAGATCATGATACAACACAGATACATATCAAAACATCACATTGTACCCTGTAAATATATTCAATTGCAATATGTCAAAAATAAAAAATAAATTTTTAAAAACATTTAAAAAGTAAATAATAGCAACATTGTATTGGATAATTATATCATGAACAAGTGAAAGTAATGACAGCAATGTTGTTACAAGGAATATATTTTAAATATAAACATTCAAATAAATTAAAAGTAAAAGGAAGAACAATTATATATCATGCTAACACTAATTAATGGAAAGTTGGAGTAGCTATATTAATTTCAGACAAAAGCAGATTTTAGAATAGGGAAAATTATCAGGGATAAACAGGAGCGCTACATAATGATAGAAAGGTCAATACTCTATGAAGACATAACAATTTTTAACGTGTAGGCACCTAACAATAGAGCATCAAAATGCGAGAGAAAAACTGTTAAAACTATAAAAAGAAATGGACAAGTCCACTATTATAGTTAGAGA